CTTCAAACACGTCTTCCCAACTAGAGCGAATCGGCAGAAATTTTTTCACTCAAAACTATGCAAGTAACTGTTCAAAGAATCTTAATGTTAGTGTAGAAAGATGCAGTGAACAGAAGGTCAAGATTACAATGTAACCAAGGTAACTGGGAGTTTTCTGTCGAATAGAATGCGGGACTAGTTAACGGTTCGGAGAGGAGGGACATAGCGAAGCGGTACCGTCAAAACACAGAATAGACAGTGCGAGATTACATATTCACCGCTTCGGGCTGTCTGGCAGNGTGTCGATTCCCTATTATATTCATTAGTGTCTTAGAACAGTCAACTAGGGAGTAAAAGGAGGCCTCAGCAACTGAAAAATCATTTTTTATATCACTCTGTAAGTCCAAAAAAACATAAACAAAATAACAATCAAATGTTTTCGCAACTTACATACGCGCTGGACATATTCCATACACTTGAACACATAGGCATCACTACTACCTTAAACCCTATCACATAACTGCCCTACGGCACATACCAACGTGCTCAAGACACTCTTAGATATTTCATCTTTGACAAAATTAAAAACAAATCGACGGAATAAGGCACACTGGACGGGCGATGCTGGTGGTTGTGAATAAGCTGCTCATTCGTCCGTAGACATTCTCAACCGCAGGTATATGCGTGTTATCAAAACGGATAGAATCTAACATTTAACTAAATTGATCACACCTTCAAGGTCAGGAAAGATTGTAATGGTCGGTGATATATCATACTTTACTTCGAATTTATGGCTTTTTAGGCATGATTCATATTTTACTAGAAATTTGGTTCCATTCTAAATAAAGCTCTGTTAATCAACTCCTAACATAGTGCGAAATCACCTCTTCTCTCTCATTCCAAAACTACTCTTTCGGGTGAAATTTTCATATCCAAAATAGGAATTTATAAGACTTACTTTGCGTACGCTTTTTCAAACAATGCTACCCACATTTCATTTGGATTTTTCGAACTCATAAATATTAATTTGTTGTTTGAATCCACTGGTAGACGGTCGTCCACTAGGACTTGTTTCCATTCACCGAAATGCCAAAAGAATGCACGAAACATTCCACAGTAGCGCTCATCCTGGATATCCACTTGAACTGGCATCAGACGTTTCCGCATAGATTGTGTTTTGCCTACTGCATCCAATATTGGGAATAGCCAGGAACCGCCTGATGTAATGTTGGAGGGACAGAGAAGACATCTCCTGGATGTGGATTAGCTCATTCAGGACATTTCATATGATGGTTACGTATTACACCACGCAAAGCAGATATAAACTTCTCATGGTAAAATCTACACGATTTATCTGGATTATTGATACCATGAGCAGTTTGATGTGTTAAATAATGCCTTCTTTTTCTAAATTGATCGATTGCCAGGGTCACTCTACTTAGCATTGGTTGTGTGATGAGGGGTCTCCATTGATCGAATACGCGCAGTGTTAGTGGGATGCAATTGTTTGCTTGACTTGTTATTGTATTTGATAAAAAAGAAATAACTTTTAAAAGCACTGATCTAGTCACGATAGATTACCTCTTCATTCGGTAAAAATTATAATCTGGTTCCGGATGCTAGAACTGTAGGATAATGTGATGCAACAGAACATTAATTTTAATGGTCAGCTTATCAAAGCCCGTGAATGCGACCCGCAAAGCTATAGGGCCTCTCTACTCAATTGGTTCTTTTTGTCATGTGCACTCATTTATGCTACTCATGGTTTAAATAACAAAAATTAATTCTGAGCACCAAAAACCTCAGTGCCACATTAGAACAATATTGTTGTTGTTTGCAATATCAGTAGTGGGGGTACTGAGATAAAACCCTCTGGGGAATCGGTAGGTTCCATGTGTAATTGAATGAGTGGGAAAAGGATACTTTATTTAAGAAGCTGTCTGTGTGACTCCAATTATTACATCAACCAAATAACAAAATAAAATTCAAGGGGCTACATTTGTTTATATGATTTAAGTAGCGCTGCTTTTTCATTATTCTAAGAATCAGCAACGAATAACGAATTCTAGCAAGATTTCTTATAGACTCTGTTTATGTCTTATTTCGATATATTTTGGTGCATACATGGTCACTTTTCCAGAGAGTCCAGTAACCAGTGCACAATGATGAGGGAAGTTCTGTTTTACCTCGTTCAGAATGCATTGTAAATCAGTCGCGAAAAATATTTCTATCAGTCTACTTTCAACGAGAGCCCTTAGCTTTGGCGAGATCCCCTTTATTGAGCCACAGGCATTTTGAGATACTTCAAACTGCGTTCACAGTAGTACATCTCCTTGAACTTCAGAAATATTGCAATCATATTGATTATACGATTTACCAATTAAAACTCACCTAGCCTGCCTTGATTTGCACTGAATTGCAAAGAATCTTTGATGAAGAATGTTGCGTTTGGATTGAATTCCTTTGAGGGGAAAGAAAGATATTGTTTCGACTGTTTATATCCACTTGTTGTATTCACAATAAACTGGAAGAAGACTCAGAGCAGATACAATTTGTTTGCATGCCACATATTCTATTAAGAACCGTCTAAAATATTTTGGTAAGTCGTAGGGCTGAAATGAAAAACAATGTTTTACCATGTCGTGGTTTCAATGAGAGAGCTGAGTGTCAAATGACGATTTTGGTTAAAAAGGAGGATGTACACGTGTTGCTGTGATCAGATGTCTACTAAAGAGTAAACAGCCGATTGATTTGGGGAGAAGATTTTAAATTAGAAATATTCCCAGGTGTTAAGCACAAATTGAAAGAACTGTTCGAGTATATTGGCCACTTTATCCGGTTGATGTAACAGGCGAATTGGTTTAATCTCTATTGATTGAAACTTCCTTGAAATGTCCTGCCATTTTTATATAGACAAAACCATAAGGCAAAACAAAAACCTGTGCCACGATTGAACACAGAGGGTGGGATGCGTGAAAAAAGAGTAGAGTTGTTCAAGAGATCCAGCAGACCCTTAAATTTTTGTATTCAGCAGACATGTGATCATCGTTTCGTTTGAGACGATAAAACAGTTTGAAGTATTTGAGTTTGCCAACTTTTGATCCATCAGTTTCTGACTTTCTTTGAATTCCATACTAGGAACAAGCACATTTTTGTACACCTCACCAGACTGGCTGGGTTTATTAGAAGTGTGTGTCTCTTGTGGGAATTATAGAGCTATCATCTATGCGTCAAATTATTGGGAATAGGAAACCTTTTTGGTATTGTGTTTTAGAGAAACATTCAATTGAAATAATAGCTATTCACTTTCTCATTAAGCGATGGCCTTTTGGAAAAGCAAGAAAAATGTATAGTGCTGTTTGAGTGAGCTCAATTAAATGCACTGTGTGTTGCGTCCCCACATATGACATTCATTTAATTTGATGTAGAAATCTTTATGCTCTTTGTTAGTCATCTTGAAAGTGCTTTTCAATGTTCTCGCAACGCATTACTCAATGAGCAGACAATCGCTTCATGATTTGATTGTTTAAGTTAGCCAGAACAGTCGTACCTTCCCAGACACCGATTTCACAGCACAACTTTATGTTGCGCAGCTTTTTTCTTCACACACTTCTGTGCATTTTTTGTATCAAGTGTAGAAAGAAAAAAGGGTAATTTACTGCATACATGAAGTACTATTTCATAGATTATTTGGATGTTGATCTCAATGAATATTCCGCATTTCATTTTCTGACTTCTGAAAAAGATCGAGCGGATACATTGCAATAAATGACCGTACCTTTGGACGCTTCCATGAATAAGTACAGTTGATATTAATTTGCCCAAGTGATTTATCATTGGCCGGAAATTCCGGATCTTCCCAGCGGGTTCCTTCAGTTCGCAGTTTTGCCACCAGGCATTCGTATTTTTCATCAGCTTCATTTCTGATCTGAAAAATTGATATAAAGTAAATTAATAAGAAACCCTCCGTATTATCTGCTTGTATCTGTCAACAGTAACGTGATGGTAGCATAGTTGCATAATAGTTAGAGAGTTTGGTATGATCTCTCACACGATATGGAACCACTGATGAAGGCTATCAGACGGCGATCGACTAACATGCTTGCGTCATGAAATCTTTTTTGGATTATTTCAGTTTTGTTATGAAATAAGAATTAAATTTGGCAACTAACAGTAAATACAGTGGTTTTAGCGAACAAGGTTGTTTTTGACAACTTATTCGAGGTAATACAATTATATAGTCAAATTAATAAGAAAAAAACTTATTGAAAAAACCTCAAAGAGAGGAAATAATGACGGTATGGAGAAGAGATCTATTTATACGACTCCAATTGAAGGGGGATTATAATAGTGAACTAGTGACACGACGGTTAGAAAGAGCAATCTCCCGAACCTTTTCTGCCCCACACTACGCATCCTTTTCGTGAGCCGACCGGTGATGTCCGTGAACCTTAAAAATTAATTGCCTGTCGATGCCTCATCCATGATCACCTATTCTTTTCTTTGTTAGTGTTCGGCAAGATATTTAGGCAATTTTCCCAAAGAATCAAGGAACACGAACCGGTCTGATTGCGTTTAGGCACAACAAAAATGATTTCAAGTGCAATCTTGGCCCATAATCCGGATACTGGGCATCAGGTTGACGATGACGCATTTTGTATCATCTACCGGGTACCACCGAACCCTTCGAAAGCCTCTCGTCAACGTCATCTCGCAACAGCCGAAGCCGTGGCCATTCGATTACTCAGCCCATCGGTTTGTTCTCAAGAAGCGATTCGTACAATCACTCAGACTGCCTTGGCCACAACGTGACACATACGCCCGAGATGGACATGACCTTTCCCATGACCGCGCTAACATAACACATGATGACACGTCCACATCCTAATCATTTTTCCCAACCGTGTTACGAACACATCCTCCCTACCCACCCTTTCCCAACCGCACACCAAAACACAGTCACAAACCACGAATCGCACACAGACATTGAAGCGCATTTTAATTTTAATGTATCTATTTAACTGTATTAGCCCGAAGAAGAAGTTGTCAAAAACGAGCAAGTTCGCTAAAAGCACTGTTTCTTCTCTTCATGCCAAGATGGTAATTTGCCATAACAGTAAGTACTCTTGTGTATTTCGTGAAAAACGTTGAAACATATTGCTGTTGTTTATCCGTAATATGAATTGAAGTTTCATATAAAAAAATGATTTCACTGCTATTCTCTTCAAAGAATCACAGAGTGCATTTTGACGACAACTCTCCCCTACTATGCGCTGTCTTCAGCTCCCATAATTTGTCCTTTTATATGAGTTCAGTGAATACGAAGCACGAATTATGCAAACGGATAAGTCAAATTCACAAGGCAGTATATTTGAAGGCAGAGAATACGATTGCTTTCAGACTCATGCAATGTTCAAAACCGAATGATATTACTCTAGTCAACACATCCAATAGAGAATATGACCAAATTGAACAGTCCATTTGCAAGAGCTATGCGTAAAATGCGGAAACAGCGGTGAATACCTAAAACTAAGCAAGGGTATTGGATGCTTTTTTGAATTTATTGTACCTGTTTACGTTGGAAATGTTTCCTTTTTTGGCTTTGTGATGATTCATCCTCTGACGTTTGACCCTCCTGTTATTTCACTTACGAGAACTTTCAATAATTGAAGCTTATTAACAAAGCTTGTCTAGCGGCTCATTCACAATTTGATTCCCACACCCCTTGCTTTGGCTGTGCATTTATGGATATCTCATCGAACAGCTCTGACAGAGACCAACGGGAATAACTGTATTCAGTTTGTTCAGATATCGTTATTATTGCCGGTCTCTCTAGCTCCTAATTCGAACCGCATTTGGTAATTCTCAGTTGTCGTATTCCAGTGGAAATTTCAGCCAAGATAAGGGTACTGTATAGTGCAATCCCCAGTTGTAACTCGGTTTGGTATCATTGGTTACAATTGTTCTCAAGTGTTAACAAGAGTCAAACACCAAATTGTGCTAGCCCAGTTCACACATATTTACATGAACTTCATGTTGATGTCTAATATAACAAACCGGTAAATTTGATTTATTTGTTGCCAAAATATTGAAACTTAAAATGTCATGTGCTAACCTTTTTGCATGTTTACCCTACCAGCAACGGGAACAGATTAGCAATGTGTCAACTGATTTTAAAAATAAACAATTATTTTTTTAGTAACGTTTGTCATTTTGCCCACTTAATCGGTATATTTTATAGTACATCTTGCATCTACAATTTGTCAAACTTTAAATTTAATGAAATCCCATAGAGTGTAACATGAATACATTTGATCATTCTGGCAATGAGCACGAGATCAACATACGCTGATATGCACGGCCTTTAAAATTCTTTGTTAGGTGTGTTCAGTGACTGAAAGCTAACACAGCATATTAAAACAAACATTATTATAAGAATGGAAATGTGACAATGCCAGTGAAAAAACAGAACATTCTTAAATCATAGCTTACCTTCGCGTATGTGTTTGGTGGTTTACAGCTCTGTGGGACACGCCGACGTTTGGACTCTATATGGTGACCTAAAATAGTTAAATTTTGTAAATAACGATCAGATTCAACCAATTCCATGAAATTCCGTTGTGATACAGTTTCTGCATTGACACAAATACCTCTAAAATTGAACTGTTAATATACTTCGTTTAAATGTGCTTCGAGGCTGTACGGGACGCATATTCACCTTTTGAGAAGTTCAGATAAAAATAGATCTTCTACTACTCTTATCTTGTCTGTTTTAGAACCTTTACAACGATTTGAGCCCGATCGACTCGTCTTCACAACTAACCATTTAGCTACAACGACGGCATTGTACCTGATGACAATATACCGAATCTGTTGGTGTAAGTGCTACACGGCCTAGGAATGTCTCGTGCGAGTGAGGCGCAAACAAAATAACAAACGAGTATTACGCTGCTGTTTTTTTAATCAAACACGTCTACAAGTAACGGTTATTTTTAATCAATTGATAAACTAGTAACTTCGTTGAATGTGTTCTATTTTTTATTTCAGATATCGGCTGTTTGTTTATCCTATTCAAAAGCCGTCGAAGATTTTTCATTCAGTGAATCATTTTGTCACTGAATTCCTAGGGGTCAAACAAAGAACATGATAAGTTGCATTGAACATGAGGCTGAACGTCTTTGATCAGAGTAAAACGATACAGTACTCTGTTTTGTGCTTAGCAAGATTTATTTGATGGTCCTAAAGGCTGCAAAAAACCATATGGAACGTTTATCGATTATAAAAAGTTCACTATATCAGTAGCGAAAATGTCAGAAATTAATTGTGACTCGTATTTTGGCCTTCTTCGGTGAGCAGACAAAATCAATGCCCCGTTTGTGGGTTTATTTTCACGAAGTCAATTTCTACTGAACTGCGGGTAAAACCATTTGTCAAATTTTCTTAGCTCATTGTGAGATTTTCGCGTCTGTTTGCAATACAGAGTGAAGCAAAATGAAGAATGTCAAGCTTTTCTCTACATTCCTAGACGCTACCCGACACAACAACAGTACCGGTCAAGGGAATGCATTCTTAAGTTAACATCCCCAAATAGTTTTGAATTGAACGGTCAGCGGAAAGAAATTGTGACAAGCGAAACACGTGTGCATTATGTACACCTCACTGCAATGCATATGTTTTACGTCCAATCCGTCTCTTACTTGAAAATTTGCCAGGCCTTTGAATTCCTTGTTCTCTAATAGGTTTGACAACTCCCGTTTTTGGGTGTAGCTGGTAGCAATAGGACGGAAAAAACAGTTGGAGAAAGAATAGAGAAAACATTGCCCATAAATTTCATGATTTTCGGATTAAAGTTCACATTTTCCTCCCTTATGATTGGTATGGGGGCAGAGTATTATGTTCCTTTCTGTTCTTGACTCACTATCAACTGACTTGTCTAGTTCCTGGCAAAACACCAGGTAACTTGAGAGAATATAGGTTTGAACTAGGCCTGTGGATATCGGACAGAAATTTAATTATCTACCAATATTGTAAAACTCGCAGAACCGGATCACCTTCAATGTGGTGTTTTGAACACTAGGAACAATCTTGATTCTGCTACCTAAGACTATCGGTCACTAGATGTTACAACGGAAAGCCAGAAGAAATTTATACCAACTTGTGATTGCTCATCCTAATCACCCTAGTTTATTCAAGGTCAATAACGTTACAATCACATCAGTCTGATTTGTGTAAACAGTAGTTATTTCAGTGAAAATAGCAGGTAGAGCTTTGCTTCTCAACCATTTTATTGGTAATGCTATGATTCTTACTGCCATGCACAAATTTAAACTGGTAAAACACGCTACTGGAACCGTACATGGACATACGTTTTAAGCAACATTTGTGGGCTATTTTGAAATACCTTGAACCGCACTGATCATTTTGCGTATTATCAAGTCAAAAACCAGGATTTATGATATGTAGAATGCAAGTGGCTCGTCGCATTTTGATTCTCTAGGATGTTAGTACTATTGGTAATACGATTGTTTTCCAGTGATCCAAAATTAAATATAACAATTAGATGTGGCATTCTCCGTACTGCAGTTAAATAGACAGACCAAGCGAAAACCTTTATTTCAAAGCTTAAGCAAGCAAAATACCCCTATTATTCGCATTGTTTTTTTGTCACAATGCGTGCATTTTTATTATTCCATTTTATTATATAAGATTAATCTTTGGAGTCATTAGCCTTATTATATTATTAATATATAATATATATTATCATATTATATTATATTTGTTATATTATATTATTATTTCGAGAAAAAATGATAAACCGAAAGCTCTACTGTTGAAAATACTTGGGCACATCAAACGCATGCTGCAATCGTACCAAGCAAACGTCAATGCTTTCGTTTCTGCTATTAATACAATGGTATTTGTTTGTAAGAGGTTCAAATAAACAAACGTTTATAAATCGCAAAAACCAATTTTCTAAATCATGATGAGAATTAAGTTCCTACTGTTTTTGATCCATTTTCTTTGTGTCACCTTCCACAGGGAGTGAAAAAATCTCAACTCAAATGAACACAATCTACTCATAACAAATGCTTGAGCAATCGATCCATTAGGAGAACAGTTTTGCAAACGCCGTGCAGAAGGGGATTGGGGTTTACGCATACACAATTAGCACAGCTTTGTGTTTCCTTGGGTTTTTAATCGTACCTGTTTGACGAGAATGTTGGTTCCGTAAAATTTTGACTTTTCGTTTCCCATTTTCCGCGAGTAAATACACAGAGAGGTGTATCTAGGCCAACAGATCCAAACCAGTTAGAAAAACATTTGGAGAAAGTAGAATAGATTGATTCATAATTTTATCATCAGTGATTTGCATGGGCAGAAGTAGCTTTGAACATTCAAAGAATTAAAATTGTGCCTCAATTTTACCATTACTTTCTGTGAGGATCAGCAGAGGCTGCATATCATTGTCAATGATCAGAATTTTCTCTCAGTAATCACTGAAAAACAGTCTCTTTTTCAGAAAAATCTAAATTTGTTCTGCTTCTGCTTGTGTTATACTAAGAGAACGATTGAGTCAGAAAATCAGTTCCCCGAGTCATATTCAGACGATTTCAACTAGAAATATTCCCTTCCGTGTATATTCATCCAGTTGCTCCTGAGATGCGACATACATACACAACAGTAAGGACCATTTTCCTACGGGGATGAATATTGAATTGACTAGGTCATTGCGTTGGTTTCACGCCTCACTAAAAGAAATCACACCGACTTTGTGCCCAGGACATTCCGATCCCTGTATTAGGTTTTTTTCAGTTTTCTATCCTAGATGCAGTGTCAGATACAGAAATCGGTATCCTGGTACTTTTAAGCTAGCTGTCTTGTTGTACTTCCTATGTAATTAATACCAGAAGTGCACTTGAATTGATAAATGAGCATTGATGATGTCAGTAGGGGTAACTTATCCTTTTTCTACCATCGGATTACGAGTGATGTTGAGAACACCAGTTTGAGTTTGGCAGCTTTGAACATAATATAAACAGCAGCACTCGGGACACTTATGATCCTTTCGACTACTGATTCTTCTTTGACCGGAAGTTTGATGATTAAAGTGTGTTTTCAGATTTAGCAACAGACACCATTTTTATTCGTTCAGACTAATTATGAACAACAAACGTTTCTGGGTAACAATTTTCGAACCGCTTCTTTCGCACAAATTCTTATTCTACTTCCAATGGGTCGTCTGAGCAAATGTATCTTGTTCCACATAGAACATAGCACACCAAGTTACGCTCGTAGTTGAGCGGTACGAAGCTGTGTAAATTTGTATACTCTCCATTACGTGTGGCTCTTTGACGCACTTTGCACTAAATGGATTAATTCAAGTGTATAGTTAGATCAACATCAAGGAATGGTCATTCGTTGTATTCTTCCTTCTCAACGGGCGAGTGTCTCCCTGAAGGTACCCTAATAAATTTCAAAAATGTATCATTCAAGTCCAAGCTTTCCTCGGAAACAGAAAATATCGTCCATCATTCTATAGGAGTGTTTGAAACTATTGATGACTGTGTGGCAGACTGATCTGTAATTTTGTCATGAAATGTCCGCATGGACTGTCCTTATTGGTGACCCCATGGTGACTACATCCTTTTGACGGTAGGAGACATTACTAAACAAGAATCGCATTTTAAATGAACATCTAAGTATCAATTATTTGAGGTCGTCAACTGCCATATCCATGGTTATTATCTCCTACATAATGAATTCACAGGAGAACTTTACTGTCTGCAGCAAAGTCAGGCTGTTGAATAGGCACACAATATTGAGAGAGAAAATTTGTTTCCATGCTAAGTCGATTAGCGTTCTCGACATCTCCTATCACCTGAAAACCTAACAAGTTACCTACGTTGACTTCATTTGAGATGTTGAGATGTAGCAAAACGATTCTATACACAAACCATGCTTAAATGTAGTTTTCTTTCAAATTTAACTGGGAAATATTTGCCTCCAGTAATTTAAACATGCGTTCCTGGAGTTGTTGGTTGACCTTTTGGCACCAAACTATATCCCGGTTTCTAACTACCGCAGTTCCCGTTCTGACATGGGCATGAAATCTGTGCCGTGCTAACAGGTCTTAACTACATGCAATCAAATGCCCAGTGCTCCCTGTTGGCCTTTTCTCGTACTTTCCACATTTACGGTTTTTTTTGAGTTCTGCTAACCGTAATTCGTGTCCACCTCAAACTGCTTTCTGATAGCATACATCCAGGTCCCTTTAGGAATTTCATAACTGTCATCAGAGAACAGGTTGAATTCAGCTATGCTTCGCGTTATCTCTTCAGCTGTGTACAAGTAGTCATGTGACAGTTCGATCAGGATAATGAAAAATCTTTAACATCAGAAAAACTCGACTAGACAAGATCAATGCGAAGAGACAATGGGAAACATTTGAATTTGACCTATTCTGTGATGATCTTTTCTGATTGTTGGTGACAGAAACAAAATGAACTCCTTGATTCAATAACTATCTGTCAGTTTTTATTTTCCTTGTCATACACATATATAAATTTATCATCTTACAACTCTCCTTATTATATCAACATTTCAGTGAT